TATTTTAGCAACTTATGTATTGTACGGATTTCATACTGGCTTGATAGAAATGTCGCGGTGATATGGTATGAATTTCTGAAACCCGTTACAACTAGGTTTTTGCTGAGGCATTGCTTCTTGAACAAGTCAGCTACTAACTCAGAAAACCCTAACCCTAATTAAACTACCAACTCCGGTACGTAAGAAGGTCTGCAATAGTCAACTGTAATGCATACTATTCGATTTTAATACAAATTACTCTATATATTTAAATTAGTATATTCGTAGCTCCTTCAACAATTGGAGCCATAAATTTTGAAAAATCGAAACATTTATCGGACTGAAGTACCCTACACCAGCATTACCCTCCACTCTAGGAAACATCATGCAATATATATATATATATATATATATATATATATATATATATATATATATTATATGTCCTTGTTCTCATCTATATTTTGCAGGTGGGTCGTCACGGAAATCGGCTTAAATATCTTAAAATTTTGAATTTTGTGGCTTCTTTTATGTTTATGCATGCCACTCAAGACTCGGTCCAATACTGTCTCTTGTCACACTTTTTTGTAGACTGTACTAATGTCGAGATCTCAATTTAGGGTTTCTGATAACATTCCAAGAGTTCACTCCAAGAGTCATTTTTTTTTTCACGGGTTAATTAATGCATGGTTAACATATCCAAATACTACATAGGTAAGCTAAATTATGAAACAATACAAAGAGTTGGTTTAATCTATATACTACGCAAATTTAGAAATTTGAAGTAATCTAATAGTATTTAATAGGGATTTTAGAGTGGCGAGCAAAAATACAATATTAACCTTTGAATTTGAACTTATTGTTTTCTTCATTTTGTGTGTGAAAAGAGATTTATAGAAACATTACACAATGTGCACCCTGATATATGCAAGTTTTTTCCTTTTTTTGCATACTTAAATCTTTAGGGGCAGTGAAACGTATATGTAATAATTTTCTATAAACTAGAACCAGCGGCGGAGCCACTAAGTGACCAGAATGGTCTCTGGGCTATTCTGCCTCTTTTTCCTCTTGCTATTATAATATAGATGTTATTATTGTATATCAGTCTAACACTCTTAAAATTTCAGTGTGCTTTCAATCCAAACTCTTCTCTGTTCCAGGCCAGTCTCATTTCTCTCTCCATCCCTCTTATTACAATGCAGTCTTCACTCCTCCTCCTTATTTTGTCAACTTTTCTTTGGCGTTAGTTAACTTTTTTTTTTTTTAATTCTTGTTTACTCTTTACCTGATATTTGGGTTTTGGGTTTGTAATGTTTTTATTTCTCTCTATTGAATTTAGGGTCTTTTAAGTTTTATGCAAACTACTTCAATCTCTCATATTCTGACTTCAAATTACTTAATTATATATGTCAATAGCCTTCCCACACAAAAAATCTTACTCCGTCACTAACCAAAACGAAGGTACTATAGCATACATAATTAGAGAGTGGTCTCGTGCGTTCCACCTCAATTGTTTGATTAGAAGAAAACATATATATATATATATATATATAATCCTGCCGACAAATCTTGATCTCCATATCTATACAACCAGATGTCTTTCTAAGCGAGCAAATGATTTTTCTACGAAAATGATTACGAGGGGTGGATCTTCAGAACAAACTCGTACTTAATGGTAAATTGGTAAATACAATACTCTATCCGATTTGAATATAATATGGATACCTTATGATTGTGGGAATATGTGAGGACAAAGTCTCATATCAGTGAGGGATCAAATAATACAAGGGTTTCTAATACTCTTCGTATTGTTAATTGATTTTATAGTGGAACCTCAATTTTCATCATAATATCAAAGCAAGTTATCTCATGTGAAGCCTAATGGCCACACGTGATCCATGTCACTTTATTTGTGTTGTTATCGCGCTAGGTTTGAAAATTCGCCACACGTGACGCAGTCTATTAAGGGTATTTATTCCACATTATAAGTAATTTAACTACTCTTCATAATTGGTTTTATGGTGGAACCTCAAATTTCTTGATAGTAACAGAGCAAGTTGGTCCAAGTGTGAAGCCCAACTAACACAAGTGCTCCACGTCCTCCAATTCATGTTGCCCACGTGTTTGCCTTGAAAATTCGTCATACGTGAGAGGTGCGTGAGAATGTGAGGACAAAGTTCCACATCGGCGGAGGAACAAATCATGCAAGAACTTATAAAAAGTTGAGCTATTCTCTATATTGCCAATTAGTTTTATGGTGAAACCTCAACTTTCTTTAATGACTTCATGGTGAAGAGCGATTAACGAAATTATGACCAACCTATATAAATAGAGGATAATAAACCGTCAATATAACTATTAAACTATAGTCGATTTAACTATTCTAACCACGCTACACCTTGACCTAGGTACAAAATTGTCCCACTGGAAAATCGGAACTTAGTATCCATGGTTATGCTGTGTATACTGTGCTGCGGTTTGGCTACATATAAAATTCATTAGAGAGACAGAAGAGTAATTAGGAACCAAATAGTGACGAATTATGACAAAGATATGCAGAAATTAACTTATAGAACTAGTACAATATTACGTCAACCATTTTTATAAATAGCATGTGGAGCGGACTTTAGTGCACATCAAAGGAAAAACCTGAACAATTAAGACCAAAATCTGTTGGCAATAAGGCAACTACATCTCATATAATGGGATTAATATTGAATTAAAAATTTTAATTAATCGCTATTAGTGGGGGGCGGCTGTGGATGGATGGGCCAGATTTGGGCTTTTGTCACTTTCGTATCCGTTTGGTCACCAACCAGTAGGACCCACCAAATTCCTGCTCATGAGACTGGTTCTCTGCTTATTGTGCCTTTTAAAGCACGCAAAAAAACCAATTTATTTGCCGCTCCGCAAACAGTCCCCAATCAAAATATCCATTACGATTCCAACCTTGTAGCCGCCGGTAGCCAGCTTTATTCATGTATTGGAATGGTACCAAGTCCATTTGACATCCCATCATGCATTAGTGTGACCCCAAGCCAATAGCCAATAGGCTATTATTTTGCCACTAGTGACTAGCCACCCATTCACTGTGGACCCTATGCCCCACACACTAGCCTACTTGGCTCTTATTTCTCTTTGTTTTAGCCGTTCTACAAGTTGGGATACGGGGAATAATTTTCACACCCTTTTTTCCTTTGGACGTGGAGAAGAAGAAAATGATTGTGCGGAAAATCACTTTCATAAAATGTTTATACATGCAATGATGCAAATCTCAAACAACAAAGAATGAATTGATTAGGGTTAATGATAATCAACTTGTTTTAACGTCTAAAGTGTTTGGTAAATGATGAGAATGCGACTTCTTTCAAAAGTTAGCAGTAGTTAACCTGTGTGGGGTCATAATTTTTCAGTGTCGGAGTAAAGAAGATTGGATAGGCATATCTCAGAAGTCCAGTCATAGGCTCAACAATTTCCGATGCAGAATTGACTAAACAGGCAAATGATGCCACTATCGTACTATTCTGGAATCAATGAGCAAAGTCTGATGACTTTGCTAAAATTGACCGTGCTTGTTCTGTAAGAAATAAGTAGGTTTCCTATAATCTTGGAGTCCTTACCATCTAAGGATTGGTGTGCTTGCAATTAATCTCGCTCTTAAGTCCTAAAATGATGCAATATCTACTTCCTAGATATCATATGGGATTATTTTGGTTTAATAAGAATTATACTATCATAAAAGATTATCTCTTCGACCAATATAAATATACTCTTTTAGAGTTCATCTCTGGTAACATAATATTTACATATTCATTCTCTTGCCCACTCTTAATATCACTTACTAACTTGATCATCAGAGAACCTTAGACTGTCACATCCCGATCTTTAGCTTACTCACAGTTGTATGTTCTTTAACAGGTAAACGGGATTAGACATCTCCACCACCCATAACGATGCGCATATTTAGTTCCAAGAACCTGAATTCGAGAATTATTACAGCCAAAATTGATACTACTCGATATTTTTGTTCTCCTATGAATTACTCACCAAACTTCTACTTTTACTCACTAAAATCCACAAAAACAAAGCAACTAGATTGCTTGAAAAGAAAATAAAAGAAAAAGCAATTAGGTTTTGTCGTTTAATTTTGATATTTCTAATATTTGATGGAGCCATCAAGAATATCCGACAAAAGCCAAACTCTAAAGAAAAAGACTACTATTTGCTATGTCTCAATTCCGAAAGCAATTGACCTGAAAATTTTGAAAAACACGTGTCCTGACTGTTGAGGCTTCCAAGTGTGCCACTAACAATAGTATTTTATTTAGATTTCGGTTCAATTGAATATTATAGGACCAATTATAGTCTTTAATTCAGTAAAGTTTTCGATATTTAATTATGAAAATTTTAGGTTCGATTCATGTATGTATAACAAAATGTTTGATTCATGTAGATGTTAATAGTAATACGTATTTATAATGGACTATCGTTGTGGTATTACACTTTTGTTGTTAGCATCAATAGACTCATTTGAAAATACTTTTAAAATTATTGAAAACGTATTATGTGAATTGATTTTGAGTTTCAAAAGTGCGTAGAAAGAAGCACCAGATATTTATTTTTTGCAAAAGGTATTTAAAGTGTTTTTTAGGATCCACTTGAACTTTTGTTAAGGATCATTTCCAAAGAAATTTCACCTAAATTTTTTTCAATCATTTCAAAAAGACTTTCAAACGAGCCCAATGTTAGAAAAACGAGTGAATGACTCGCTACAAATCACTATAACGTAATTAAAATTCAAAGCATTGTAAATATAGGTTAATATATTTCTTTTTAAAATAAGCGAAATGTAATATTTAATATAGAAAAGAATATAAACTGCTCACATGTCCCTTAATAATTTATATTCGTTGATCTTCTTCAGTTTATTCAATTCGATGACTGAAAATTAAAAAGGTGTGTAAGAAGTAAAATAGAGTATGAATATCACACTTCTATAATTTTCAACAATGAGCTTCATGTCCAAGAAATCAAAAGCACCATTTCATTTATGATTTTTAATTTTATTCCTTTCCCACTCCAATAGTCTCCAAGCTTCTATTCTCAATTGACAAATATCAATAAAAATTTATAATAATCCGTCTTTAATTACAATTAAACACAAATAATTTAAAATAAAATAAAACTACAAAAACGAGTTCTCACAAAACCGCCGTATATATTAGAGATAATCGGCTATACTCGTAGTGATTGTACATCACACTCCGGAGGACATTTTCGGTATTCCATGTACTGCTTGCGCCACTTAACAAAACTCACTTCACTTGCAAATTGCAGCACAGTCCCAAACTAAAATAATCCTGCCTACTTGTAGTTACACGTGTAGAGTACTGCTGGGTTCAACTTACGACGTCAGCTAAGAAATCGTCAACGTTAAACTCGCCGAACTCGTCGCGCACAAAGTTGTTACTCGACAACATAATATCTGGAAAGCTTAACGGCAAGTCGATATCAAACACGAAGTCGTCAACATCTCCGTATATGAAACCATCAAACGGCGTTTGCTCCTCGTAACGGAGGACCGAGGTAGGCGACGAGAGAGCCTCGCTGGACGGCGGAGATACGCACCCGCATCGCTGCGGAGGAGCTGGGACCACCACATCGGCAACGACTTTCTCTTCCGTTGTAACGGCGTTAGAAAAGTTGGTGATGGCATCTGGACCCTTGAGAAGGATGGCAGCTCTGTCGTAAACACTGGCGGCTTCCTCCGCTGTGTCGAAGGTTCCGAGCCAGACCCGTTTTTTACGAGTCGGATCTCGGATCTCCGCAGCCCATCGACCCCAAGGCCGCCGGCGTACGCCTCTGAACTTTTTCTGGCGCGATGCATCCATTGCCGGCGATTTCGACCCGGTTCGCTTTACGGGTTTCGGGTCTTTCCTGGCCCGCTTCGACTGACCCGAAGAAAACGACGACGAAGATGAAGGCGAGGAAGAGGAAGGCGAGGAGAGCTCGAGGCTGATCTGTCTGACATGTCGTTTGACTCTGCGTACGCCGCTGTCTTCGTCGTCGCTGGAGGAGTCGGTGGCGTCGGCGTCCGTGAGGATGATCCGGACGAGCTTTGGCGGGACTCGGATCGGGTTATCGGGTTCCTGGATCATGGGTTTTGTCACGGTGGTGATTTGCTCTGAAAATTTGACCGCTGAGTGTGCGGACGAGGTGGGTTGGAAGGTTGTCATGGATTTAGAGGCGGAGGAAATGAAATCGGAGATGTGGGTTTGGTCGGAAGCAGCAACATGAAGAATCGACGGCGAGAGCATGTAGAAAAGTTAGTACGACTGAGATGAAGTGAGTGAGGTTTTGAATTTGTAGAAGGTTGAGACAGAGAGACAGAGAGACAGAGAGAGAGGGTAAAAGTGAGAAGCTTTTTGGAGTGGAAGGAAGAAGAAGGAGCAAAAGAGAAGAGGGAGGAACTGCAAAGGGGAGCTGTATGGAGGCTTTTGGCAGAGAGTGAGCTACTGATAAAACCCCTTTGCAGGTTTGGGAGAGAAGGAAAACGGAGAAAAATGGGAAGGGTAAAGTGTATTTATAGTGCATGGAAGTCATGGATAGGATAGGAATAGAATACACAAATGTGGAAATGGTTTGGTTTCCAAATTTGGTATTCTCAGTATTATTTTTAAGAAAATATACAACGCCTGCATAAACTTTAGAAAATTAATTTATCCGCCACTTATTGTGTGTTTAGTCTCGTCCGATTTTACTTTTGATTAAAAGTCTGTATTCATACTTTTGAAAATACATGTTCTCCTTTGTTTTTTTTTCCACATGTTTAGGAAGGAGAATAATCTTTTTAATGTCAATAACAACTCTCAAAATAAATAGAGGTGCACAGAGAATGAATGTAAAGTGTGAATACCAATTCTATTTTGAGGAAACTAATGAAAATGGCTTGAAAACTTTGAGTTTTAACGAAAAAGACAAAATAAAGAGTAAAATAAATAATATAATGATTGATTTTTTCGTTAAAGTTTCCTTCTATTTTTCTACAAGTGATGTTGGGCAAGTGAAAAGTTGTACTCATAATTTCAAGTGCATAAATAAATACTCTTAATTAATTAAGCTACATACTATTTTCAAAACCAATAAAACTAAGTCGTAACGAAAATGTATTGCTTTCTTGTGAAATTACCCACTGTGACCCCTGTTTGTTATGTTTTATATTTAGGAAAATTAATGAAAATGACTGAAAACTTTGAGTTTTAACGATAAAGATAAAATAAAGGGTAAAGTGAATAGTACCATGTTTGACTTTTTAGTGTAAAAATATGATTTTTCGTTAAAGTGAACAGTACCACGGGCTTTTCGTTAAAACTCCCTTTATATGTCTGGTGTTTTCTTTTGTTTAATTTAATTTATATTTACTTTGACTTAGGGAATGGTTGTAAATTATATCGTGAGTGAGGGGGACTGGGGGAGTACGTATGTGAGCGGGTCATGGGCCATGGGTCATTAGTCATGGGCCATGGGTCATTAGTCATGGTCTGGAGTGTTAAGCGGGAAAACAAACCTCTCTGTTGACGCGTGTCAGTTGGCCTCTTCCTCGGTTCCTCTTACCTCTCGTTTTCATTCCACAAACAAAAACAACCCCACTACTCACGCTCACAAATTGCCTAACTTTTCCTCCAATTAGTCCTCCCTCTCTGATTTTTTCCTTCTCCAATTTAATATTGAAATTCTATAGCAAAGTAGAGTTTCCTCAGCCAACACATCTGTGTATATATAGGGTCGGTCGATGCATAACTTTTCTCTAAAAAATCCTTAACAACAAACTGTTTTTATAAGGAAAACTAATGAAAATGATTTGAAAACTTTGAGTTTTAACTATAAGGACAAAATAAAGGGTAAAGTGAATAGTATCAGAATTGACTTTTTAGTGTAAAATATGGTTTTTCGTTAACGTGAACAATATTGGGAGGTTTTCGTTAAAGTTCTCGTTTTTATATTGTGTACAAGATTCAAATCTTGGGTCTTCCCATATTAAAGGTTCAAGTTTTTTAGATAGAAATAGAGTATGCAGCGCAAAAAAAAAATCAGTTTATTCACTTAGGTACTTCGTCGAACATTTGATGAGTGATATCAAGATAATTTGTTGATCAGTGTTGTTCACGCAATCTGTCGAGATAATGCTTAGCAGGTATTACATCAAACACTTGGTTGATAGAAAAAGAACCGTGCAAAACATTCGGAAAGTTCTCAAAACACCTCGTATGTCTATTTTCTGAACTCCAGGTGGTGTCTATATACAATAATATTAGTGTAAATAGTTTACACGTACATCGTAAATGATAGTTATGCTCTAGTAATGTGTTTTCATATGAGACCTATATGTGTCTTACTAAATGAGAGGATGTACTTGTATTCTGCTTAAGATAGCACAATAAGTTTTGCTAAATGAGAGAAAGTAACTTGCATTGTGTCTGACGTACACATAACGAGAGTGATGAATACAAAGAGATATACAATTGGAGACACAATGCTAATTCACGTTTTACATGTTTGAAACCGACCACGCGGTTTCTCTAGTTAGCATGCAGCTCTTTTTCTCTGCCTTTTACTGTGTTTGGTATGGAAAGGGATCCTCTTTGGATCTCTTCCACCAAATCCACTAATCCGAGCTCTTAAAATTTGATCCAAGAGTTAAAAATATGAGTCTTCTTTAAAAGTTATAATAGCCGTTGAATCAAATTTTAAATATCCAAATTAATAGATTTGGTGGATTTGATGGAAGGGATCCGTAGAGGATCCTTTCCGTTTGGTATGTTGGTGCGTCTCCAAAAGCATGCTTCTCTTTAGACTCTTTTTTCCACCTAATCGGGAAGCTGTGGCTTTAACTTTTTACTGTCCACAGCTTCTGCAGCGTATATGAAACTGTTTAGTTTGTGTGCTAAAAATTGAGACTCAAACGGTGTCTTTTTTCTTCTTCAACGCATGGGTGATGGAATGATAGGTGCATGCCAGGCCATATACATCACGATCATCGTATACAAATATCAGCTTATGGACCCAATTTTAATTTTCTTTGACCCCATCAAACCTAATCCCTTTACTGAAAAAAAAGCCCTATTCTGGGTTAAAAATCTTCAGTACGGCAACTGGTTCTGTTTGATCTCACTTTGTTTTACACTTATAATATTTTTGTGTTTTTCTTCATCTAGCCACACACTGATATTAGTTGTAACACTTAATTACTTGTTATTGGACGGTCACACAAGTCTAATCATGTGACTCCACTATTTAAGATTCTCTTTATTTTATTGTATAGTGTCAAATTGTGATTTTACATAAAAATAAACGGCTCGTTATATACAAGAGGTCGAGCCATGAAAAGAAGACACCATTGAATTATTTTAATCAAGAGTTGGATTGAGTCAAAATAACATAGGTAGAGAGTAAATTTGTCAAAACCTATTAATAATTGTATATGTAATCCTACTTTTCTCTTCAACCTATCACACCTTGTGGCGGCATTACATACATAGAGATGGGTTCAAAATTAAATTAAATTAAATGAAAACCACTGAAAAACGTCGAAAAGTTGATAGGGTTGGTTTATGCTTCGGGAGGAAGCAAAGGCAACGATAGACCCCCAATCCATCAGCCAGCACGTGAGAAAAGTGAGCAATCATGCATGATTAGGGTTGGGACAAAGAGACTGGAGATGGAGGTTCGTTGCTTGTCAACCAAGCGATAAGTTAATCAAAGATATCTTAATTTGCCCCCTCAAAGTGCACACTTAAATTTAATGGGGAATTAAAATAGGGTTAATTTTTTCCAGCAGTTTGTGATGACGTTTCTTTTAAATCATGCATGACCTAACTCCTTGTATTATTAGTTTAAGAATCTAGGACTGTCCATGTTACCTAGGCATCGAGAATCTATAACTCGCATATTAAGGGGTGGATACACGTAACGTTGAACGAAGGTTATTGCCCTTACTCACCCTAAAGTTTAACTAGTATGGGAGCAAAATTTTTGACAAATTCTTCAGAAAGGGTCGCGAAATGGCAAGGGGCGAATTACGGGAGCTAGGATGGGGGTGTATGCTTTGGCTACCTCTTTACTCCAACCGACCTATAATTTTTTTCATGCATCCAAGATATCGTGTTTTAAATCTTTCGTTCAGCATCGGATGTATTAAAGTTAATCTAGAAAACTTTTCACCTAATAGAAGGAAATCTAGAAGATTGATATTGGAACTTGGAAAGAGAAGAACCCATGATGCCACGTGGCTTCTAGACATGAAAAATTCAAACGGAGCACATCATTCGGTGCCAAACCTTGCACCACCACAACCACAAGTGCCCATCGGTGTGACTCGTTCGCATCCAATTCACAAGTTCTGCGCTTTATAGCTACCAATGATAAAAAAAAACAAAAGAAATATGTGTACATTATTCTATATCATAGATATATACGACGTTCCCTTCATCGTAAAAGAGCTTCAGAAGCATCACAATATACGCACGTAAGGAATAGTTCTCGTTGCTCTAAACTCAGGGAAAGGGACTGGAACTTGGGAGCCAGCCAGGAAGCGGGAAACTTTATGGCCACTTGGCCTAACCCACGTCAAGTAACACATACAAATGGATTCGGCGTAACACATCGTTTCATCTTTGGAAGTGATTCTAGGAGGGATAGAAGTGACACTCTTCGGAAAGCACGAGGGGCGGTAGTTTTATGGAGAAGCGCCTCTCATGTGCTTCTTCCAAGAAGTGATTCTATCCCTCCGAGGATCACTTCCAAACGGGTTCATCAACCTGAACACAAAAATTGCTTTCATTTGGACGGTGTTAAACCAGGCACTCTAAAGCAATCGTGCTCTTAAAAAGCATTATTTCTTCAACAAACAAACCATTCACTTAAATATCATAGTAACGATACATTACACTTGTTTTTTCCTTCCATCTCGAATGCCTTCAAATGAATATTCACAAATGTGAACTTGTTCCTTGATCAACTTTAAGTCTCACAGAAAAGATAAATTTTCAATATTTCCAATGTTCACTTTAAAGGAGATGGAGTTCGTGCATTTGCAAGCCTTTTAACAAATGCCGGAACCTTTGGTTTTACCCCATCGCGTACTTCTGAGTCCAACTGCGAGCAGTGGCTTCATACTTTGCCCTGTCCGTCTTGTACATGTGTGCAATTTCGGGGACAAGCGGGTCGTCGGGGTTGGGGTCCGTCAACAGAGAGCATATGGACAGCAGCACCTGAAACACAAGTTCATTTGATACACATTATAACCCATATCACAAGAGGTTAGAACTGAATTTAGTGCCCTTATCAGATTAAAAGGAATCAACGTTAAATCCATCCCACAAAATGACAACATCTCATCCTATGTTGAGTATACCATGTTACTTGCTCTGTATTTTAACTTCATCCCGTAAAATGATGACATCTCATCCTTTTTAGGCACACCCACATGCTTGAGCCGTATCACTCATCCCATCTCAAGTGATACAACAGGACATGGAGTGAAAAGTAGGATCGCACATGATGAATA